GTTGTTAGTTACTCTTGGTGTTCACCAGAAGGCATCTCTGACACTTGACCTATTGTTTCTTGTCAACAGGCAAATTCAGGCATCTGCCTGTTGTAGAGAATGGTGAAGTTATTGCTCTGTTGGATATTACAAAGTGCCTCTATGATGCCATTTCCAGAATGGAGAAAGCTGCAGAAAAGGGAAGTGCAATAGCTGCTGCAGTTGAAGGTGTGGAGCGCCAGTGGGGAAGCAATTTCTCAGGTTGGTTGACAATTTCCTTACATACTTTACATCCCTGCTGTTGAACTTATCCTGCTTTATGAGCAACTTGTCTTTCTAAGGCTAAAGTTTCAGAACTCGGTCTGACAAAGAAATCGATGATTCCCTGATATCAGTCTCAGATTTAGTTGTTGGATTTTGTTTCAAACATATGTGGGCATAAGAACTGAATATAGTGCTATAATCATTTTCATTTAGTTTCTTTTTACTGATGTCATCATTGGCCTTTCTTTCCTTCACCTTTTGGAGATTGTTTCCTCATGGAGCTTTCTTTGATGGCTTCTTCATTGAGTTTCATAGTGTTTAATGATTCTCAACATTGAATGATATTTTTCTTCTGTTTGTTAGGAGGGCCTGTCTAGTGTTTCCCATGTTTTCTTGATTTATCTATCTTTTTGTGTGCCGTTTGTTGTTACCTCACTTCAAGGATATTCAAGCAATTTTTTCTCGACAAAGGCTTTAATTTTTTAAATGTTTAGGCTGCAAAGTTTACTATCTAGCTTTGTCCACATACTTAAACTTATTAGTATCCTATATCCATAAAACTCTTGTAGAAAGAAGTTTCTGAACTTTCACCATCTTTTCTCAGTTCCATATGCTTTCATAGAAACTCTGAGAGAGCAGATGTTCAAGCCTTCCTTGTCAACTATCATTGCTGAAAATTCCAGGTACTTCTACTGTTTGTTTATTCTTCTGATTATTGTTTGTAATTGGATTTAGATTACGTAATTTGTTTGTGTTATCAGTATTTATAGCTTTTTTGGTTTCAGGTTGCAATTGTATCCCCATCAGATCCTGTTTATGTTGCCACAAAAAAGATGCGAGAGTTGCGGATCAATTCTGTTGTCATAGTGACTGGGAACAAAATTCAGGGGATTCTAACGTAAAAATCTTTCAGTGATTGGATTTTTATAAGTGCATGTTTTGAAATTTTCATGTCATTAGTAGTTTTAGAAACGGTCTCCTCTATACATGTATATATACATATATGTATTCATGTCTTCGATATTAACTCACAATGCTATTGAACTGCAGTTCGAAGGATATCCTTATGCGAGTTGTGGCACAAAACCTCTCCCCTGAATTAACTCTTGTAGAAAAGGTTTGTTATTCAATGTCTTATGGGCATTTCATGTCATCAATGCACATAACAGTCTTTTCCATGTCCAACTACTAATTTGCAAATTTTTCTGATGAGATCTTGTTTAATAGTTAGCTTAATCTTGATATTGTATTATGTATGAGTTGACACTGGTATCTTAGTAAACTGCATTGCCATTTCTTGGGCTGTGGCTCAATACATGACTATATTTAGCCGTGGGAAAAATGAGAAGTCAATGGATTTGTTATATGGTATCAAGAGCAGCAACTGTTTTAAATCCTGACTTTTTTCTTATGGGCATTTCATGTCATCAATGCACATAACAGTCTTTTCCATGTCCAACTACTAATTTGCAAATTTTTCTGATGAGATCTTGTTTAATAGTTAGCTTAATCTTGATATTGTATTATGTATGAGTTGACACTGGTATCTTAGTAAACTGCATTGCCATTTCTTGGGCTGTGGCTCAATACATGACTATATTTAGCCGTGTGAAAAATGAGAAGTCAATGGATTTGTTATATGGTATCAAGAGCAGCAACTGTTTTAAATCCTGACTTTTTTCTAACAACTGTCATTGCTTTTCATTACTTATTCATTCAGTGATGACTCCGAATCCTGAATGTGCAGCATTGGAACAACTATTCTCGATGCATTACATTTATGCATGATGGGAAGTTCTTACATCTTCCTGTCGTACACTAAGGTTAGCCTTTATCCCCGTA